GTACAGCAAACTCGAGGGTTTCCGAATGGTATGCCTTGGGCTTCTATTTCGATCAACCCCAGAGGGTATCAACAAAGACACGCAAATAAAACTTAATCCCCAACTGGTCCCCAACCATCTTGTGCAAGACGGTGGTTTCCTTGTTGTAGCGGTACAGGCGACGGATTCGTCCATTTCGATCAGCGACTTCGTCTTTTTGGTGCGGATGATCCAAATCCTATTGGCCGGAGGCGCGGAATACGCTGATCCAGTCGGCAAAGGATGGGACCCTGGCGAATGCACTGGCCGGCGCCGGGAGCTAAGTGGAGCCAACTCAAGCGCAGGGCAATGTTTCTGGACAAATTAGAATGACATCACTCTTAGAGGTTGCCTTGTGTCTTCACGCAGAAGGTGTTTTTGTCCATAGTCCCTTAATTTTGGTGGGTGAATTGTACCAGTTTGTCCAGATTGTTTGGAGACAGGCGTTATTGCGCTGCGATTTGTGCAGAGACCAAGTCATTGGGAGCGCAAGTGCTCAATCCTAAGTTCTACAACTGACTGATGGCCTTCGGATTTCCCATGGTGCAAGCATGGCAGATTCTAGTGCGTTGTACTGCAGGAACGCTGTGTGTTGGCTGCTTGTTTTGTGTTCCCTCTGGAACAGGTTCAACAGGCTGCTTCTTTCCTTCCAAAAGATCGCGCACACACACACACACAAACCGCCAATTAGGTTCTTGTTGGGCGCATGGGTTTTTGTGCGTCCCTTCGCTCCAATTTGTCGCAGGTCTCGAACGACGCCGGGAGCTGAGGGGAACCGCCATGAATTCACACCAAAATGACCGTGGCTCAGAAAATGGCACCCAGCATGACACCTTGGCAAATGGAAACCAAGCCTAAACATGAGTAACCCCAGCGATCGAATTTTGCGCCACCAGGACCCGCTTCTGTTGATATTAAAAGAGCCTTTTGGAGGTCCCCTATTTTGAGGATCATGCATTGACGGCCTCCAAAAGACCTCTCGTTGAAAGCGGCCTCGGAAGTCCGAGCTTTCACATGTTTGAACTTGCTGAGTTTTGTCGTTCAGTGGTGGCTGGAACCACGCCGTGAAGCCTGTGTGAGCTTTTGAAGTTGATTTAGTAGCCTTTGTTGAATACTACAAATGACTCACTGGAGAGCAGATTTAGCACTGGGCAGGCAGTTCATATTTCATTTGCAGGAATACCTTCAAGGTAGCCAGCCTCTAAGTATGGTGAATCACAACACATTGTAGTTGTTTAATTTTTATGCATCACTAGATTCCGACGGGATGGCTACAACCCCTTCAAGCAAGGTTGGGAAGTATCCACAGTATTGATAGGGTAACATTGTATTGCTGAAGTGAGGATAACACCGCCATGTGCATTAATCCAGCCTATTGTTCAACAATCAAGGGACCAAGCGATTCCCCCTCTCCCCACTTCATTCTGCCCCTTCCCCCCGAGGCTCCCTTGGCTCGCGCGTGCCCGCTTTTCTCCACACACTCAGAACATGTCGCCCCCAATCGTCGCATACCATCTCGTGCCCTTCGCCCCCACTTCGCACCTAGCTCTGGAACTCTTGTCATTTTCCAAGGCGGAAATAGTTGCAGCAAATTGCTCAGCGCTGTTACCCCTGGTCCGCGGTGTTACACCATGATTTTTTTGGCGTGATCTCCCTCGAGGACCTCCAAATAGCAGGTTGGGGCCCCTCTTTCTATTGCCAGACTTAAGACTTAACTCACCTGTTTCCCTTGTACCCCTTTGCTTTTCCCAAACCAACATGAAGTTAGTTTTTTTGTTCCTTTTTTCCCGTTTTTTTCCGCATCTAAGTGTGGCCCTCTTTGAAGGCAGCAGCTTTCGTGTTTACCAAGCCGTACTCAGGAGATGGGTGATCTGCGCCAGGAGGCCGTACCAAAAGTGGGGGGAGATGGGTTTTGCTTGGAAGCTGAAACCCCAGGAGCCTTCAACCGCTGCTTTCTGGAAAGCACTTGGGTTTTGGACATGGGACAAGAGAGTCGTTGGATGGAAAGAAACCAGCCAGCTAGCCAAACCCCCAGCTCTTTGGTTGGTTCCTCTAGTCGGGGAATCTACTTAAGGGCTCATTGCTAAGCTGGCTGGGCTGGGGTGGCTGACGCACAGACTTGCACAGAGCCACTTGCACACAAAGCAACTTGCACGGAGCTCTTGCGCAGAGCAGCTTGGGCATGGCACTTGCGCAGAGCACTCGCAGAGATCGACGAGCAGACTTGCGCAGAGCACATGTGCACAGACAGTGCCAAACAACAACTTGCGCGAAGCACCACCTCGCGCAGAGCGATTGAAAGGAGCCACTCTAAAAGAGCTACCTGCACAGAGAAGTCGCGCAGATCCACTGCGCCTGCGCAAAGCAATTTGCATATAGGAACTTGCGGGCGACGCTGCGCAGAGTACTTGCAAAGCTGCGCTTGCACAAAGCCAAGTCTGCAGGTTTTATTGCTCATGATACGGAACACTCGTTATCGTCGCGGCGCGGTGACCGGGGGCTTGGATAAGAACTCCCCGGTCTTGTGTTCGCAGCGGATAATCCCATGGGCCGTCCGGAGGCGCGCCAAGCGCTGATCCAGTCAGCAAAGGATGGAACCCTGGCGAGCGCACTGGCTGGCGCCGGGAGCTAAGTGGAGTCAACTCAAGCGCCGGCGCAGGGCTGTGTTTGTGCACAAGTTTACTGGCGTCACTAGAAGTTGCGATGCGTTACTTGCGGTGAAGGTTTATTTCCCGTTGGTTTCCGCTGGTGAACCCAGATTGTTTGCCGACACTTTCTGGCAAAGAGCTCGCGTTGTCGCGCCACGATTTGCCGTTTGACTCATTGTAGATGCCAAGTTGGGACGGAGGGATTTCCTAGTTCCCATGTGCCATCAAGCGTTTGCTTTTCCTACCACAATGGGCCCAAGTGCTCAATCCTAGGCTCTGCAACTGGTTAACGGCTTTTTGGATTTCCCATGTCAGATTCTAGTGTTTTTTCCTGGAAGAACTCCGTGTTTTGGCTACTTGTTTTGTGGCCCCTCTGGAACAGATTTCACAGGCTGCTTCTTTCTTTCTTTCCAACAGAACACACACACACACAAACCACAAATCAAAGAAAACTGCCCCTACCAGGCCTTTCGGAATGTGCCAGTGGTTGATTCCCTTTGGTGTTGCTCGGCTTATGGGGCGCTGTTTTTGTTTGCATACCTTCGCTCCAATTCGTCGTAGGCCTCGAAAGACGCCGGGAGCTGAGGGCCTGGGGAGTTACACCCTTTCGACTCTAAAGATATGTGGTTTTTGTTTAACATGGCTATAAAGATTAAATAGGGAACCTCCGTGAATTGACACCTAAATGATGTCCAGATGGTCTCCACAGATTCACACCCAAATGCGACCCGCTTCGGTTGAGATTTAAAGAGACGCCACAAGGAAACACCCCATCTTGGGAGTTCCCTATTTTGAGAAATATCCAATGACGGCCTCCAAAAGACCTTTCGTGGAACTCGGCATTGGGGCCTACAGGGAGGTCCGGACTTTCACATGTTTGAACTTGCTGAGTTTTGTCGTTCAGTGGCGACGGGAATCAAGCAGTGAAGGCTGTGTTAGCTTTGGGAGTTGGTTCAGTAGCCTTTCTTGAATACTGCAAATGACTCGCTGGAGGAGCACAGAATTAGCAAATGGCAGGCAGTTTGTATGATAGTTGCAGGAGTACCTACATTTAAGTATGGTGAATCACAAGACCCTAAGGTTTCGGCATCACGAGATTCCTCCGGGAGGAGGATCCCAAAGCAAAGGCCAATGTCAGCTTGAGGAGGGAAGCGACCGCTTCAAACAAGGTTGTGAACTATCCACACTATTCACAGGGTAACATTGCTGAAGTCGGGACAACGCCAATGGATGTGCACTTATCCAGCCTAGTTGTTCAAGGTTCAAGGGGCATTTGGGCATGTGTCAAAAGAAGCCACTCCAAATGCCCACCCTTCTCCCTCTATCCACTCCATTTTGCACGATCCCCCCACGGAGCGTGCCCGTCTTTCTTTACACGCTCAGAGCTTGTCGCCCCCAGTCGTGGCGCACCATTTCCTAGCTCTTCCAGTCTTGTCACGTTCTGCGGCGGGAATAGTTACGGCACACCGCTCGGCGCTGTTACCCAGGGTCCGGCGGTGTTCCACTATGGTTTTCTCGGCGTGGTTAGCGCGTAATCTCGTGGCATCTCTGATCCAGCACGCCGAAGGAAGCTAAGCCAAGCTGCGAAGACAAGCAATCAACCCAGAAAGCATGTGTTGTGCTTTAAAAAAGCACCCACATGGTTTCTGAAGATATCGCATGAACGTCCACGCCCTCGAGAAACTCCAAATAGCAGGTTGGGGCCCTTTTTGCATTGCGAGACCCAACAGACGTTTTGCCCTTTTTGCATGTTCCCTTTAAACCCATGAAGAAGGTAACTTTTGTTGCAGGAGGTCTAAGTGTGGCCCTCTTTGAATGTGGCAGCTTTCGTGTTTAGTGACTGTCCCCAGGGTGCCCGGCAACCCGCATCGCTTAGGGTGACCTGCAGAAGGAGGCCGTCCAGCCAAAAGTCGGGGGAGATTGGGGTGCGCGGCCTTTTTGGATAGTCTCAAAAGAACAACTAAAACCAGCACCCATCAACAGTTGCGTTCTGAAACCCAGTTGTTGGGTTGTTTCCTCTAGGGGATATTGGCTTAACAAGGGCCTGATTGACATTTCCAAGAAATGAAATTTCTTGCAACAACACATGTTTGTTTTCTGTCTCAATACTTGACGTATTCAGAGCGAACGGAGACCTCGCAGCAACTCAGAGTGCCTATTTGTGGCAATTCGGAGCCACAGTCTAGCGAAATTACTACGGTAGCCCCCCCTATATAAATATATATATATATATATGTGTGTGTGTGTGTATGTATGTATATTATATATGATGTAACGCCCCGGTATGTAAAGATGAATTAGGTTTGCGTTCCGCCAGATTTCGGCTTGCGCGTTATGGCCACTGGCCACTCCTCCGAAGGAGTGTGCCAGTGCGACTTGTGCCTGACCCTTAGCAGGGTCAGGGACCTGTGCCGAGGGTCTAGCTCCTACTTTTTCTGGAGCCGGGCCCTCGAGCGTGTGAGATTGCTGCAGGGGGAGATCCTGGACCTTCGGGATCGGGATCACTGGTTGACAAACCAGCCCCCTGCAGCAACCCCTCCTGGGACGGGAGGGGTAGGAGGTGCTCCTTCCGAGGGAGCATCTCCAGCGGGAGCTCGAGCTCCTGAGGGAGGACCGGGGGACCTGGCAGTCCCCCCGGCCTCCGACACAGGGTCAGCGGCAGAGGCTGCTGGGGCCAAAGAGGCCGGTGAGGAGAGAGTGAAGGAGAAGAAGAAAAAGAAGAAGGAGGAAAAGGGAGAGGAGAAGGAAGAGGTCTAGGTCATCGAGGGGGAAACGTGAGGAGAGCGTGGAGGTCACCAGGAGTCCGGGAGGAAAGGAATTGAAAAGAGGAAGGGAAGAGTTTCCGTGGCACCAGGTCGGAGGGTCTGTGGGGGTCAAGGAGGAGCCCGCCGCGAGCGAGGAGGAAGAGGAGCGTCCAAGGGAAGCCAGGCATCAGACCCCCACCTCTCCGGTGTCATCAAGCAAGGAGGATAAAGCGAGGAGGCATAGGAGCACTTCGAGTGAAGGGCACATCAGGCGGCTTATTGCAAAGAGCAAGGAGGCCACTGAGGAACGGGCTGAAGGTGAAGAGAGAAGAGAGGAAGCATCACACAGCAGGGAGAAGGAGGAGATCAAGAGGGACCTCAGCCGGTCCCCTTTGCGGAGGCTCCCGGGGGGCTTCATCGAGGACCTGCTGATCCGGCCCCGAGAGGAGTACAGAGGTGAGGACAGGAGAGGTAAGAACAAAGGGCGTAAGAAAAGAGAGCAGCAGAGGAGGTTCAGAGAGCGCTTTGGTGGAGGAAAAGGAAAAGGTGGTGGAAAGCACTGGGGAGGCCGAGGAGATTGATGCCTCCGAAGGTGGGCGGAAGACGAGGAGCTGCTAAGGCTAAAGCAGCTGCGAAGGGGAGAGCCAGAGCCCTTGCCCGGCTGCCGGTAGCTCCTCCTAGGGTCTGAAGGAGACCAGCTGGGGAGGAAGAGAGAGAGGACCCTGCCGTGTTGAGGAGGCCGGCTGGTAGAGAGGTGGCTCCAGTTGAAGAGAGGTTTGAGAGAGGGGAGAGTGTGAACGTTGTGGAGTTGCCAAGACATTTGATTAGGCCAGGCCAGAGCTTGATCGTGGTTGAAGGCAACTACTGGGAAGCCCCCGTGACGCTATGTGGAACAGTGGAGAGAGTAGAAGAGGACGGAGCAGGGGTCGTCGTGGAGGTTCGGCTGTTGGGCACGGAGAACGAGGACCTCCTGAAGTGGTCGACAGGGAACCCAGCGAGCCGATGCAAGCTACACATGTGCGGGGACGGTTGCGTGGCAGGCCTATGCGAGGACGGGTTGGTCCACGTGAAGAAAGTCAGGCTTCGCCTCCCAGGCGCAGGGGAGGCGTGGCTGGACAATCTGGTGGGGCATGTGCCGATTCAGGTGGACGACATGGCTGCCTTGAGGAGAGAGGGGCAACGAGCTGGACAAGGAGGATTTGAAGGCTGGAAGAAAGAGCAGGAGGGTAAAGGAAAAGGAGACAGGAGGTATGGAGAAGAAGAGGGCGAGAAGCGAGTCAAGCTCTTCAACCAGCTCATCCAGCCGGAGGAGAAAGAAGAAGAAGAAAAAGAAAAAGAAGGCGAAGAGAGGAGTAAAGGTCGAAGCAACAAAGGAGCTGAGCGCCGTGTTTGGAAACACCGGGATGGACCCGGACGTCAAGGTGAGGAGACAGGTGGTGAGGAAGGTAAAGAAAAGCCTGAGGCTGTTGCAGAGACAGATGGACACCTCCGATCGGGACTCTTCGGGAGAGGAGTCGACAGAGGAGGAGGACGCGGGGGTGTTCGAGGAGGCGCAGAGGATCAGGAGAGTTGGAGTAAGAGGCCCAGGAGTTTTGGCGGCGGCGTCCATCAACGAGATGAAGAAGTCGTTGGTCGCGGCTTCAGGGCAGCTGTGGGGCCAAAACAGAGATTTGGCGCCGGTGGGAGTGCACTATTTCAGGACGGTGCTTCAGCTGAAACTCCATGGCGCGATGGCCCGAGAGGCGTTCACCCTGGCCTATGGTGCGGACCTGGCCCAAGGGAGGGTCGCCGAGGCGATCGACCTGTTGCTGCAGCGCCTGAAATCGTTGGAGCAGGTCTCTCAGGGGATGCCGTGGCAGACTGCTCAGAAGATGGAGCTGTGCCCCTTGGAGACAGCTCAGGTAGCAACCCGGGCGGAGGCTGCGATCGCGATAAAGCCTTTGCCGTCTCGTCCTTTTCCTGGCTCTCGCCAACGGTGCTGCTCCCTCCCAGGAGCACCTTTTCCAGGGTTCTGCCAGGCACCTTCTCCGCGGGCTTCAGAAGTAAGGAAGGCAGGAGTCAGCCAAGAGGAGGAAGTGTCAGCCTGGAGAGCTCCTAAGAATGGGAGAGGTGAGGACCGGACTATGACAGAGGAGGATGAGACCTTGGACCAAAGCGTCCCTCGGAAGATGACAGAGAATGGTGGAAGAATTGAGGTACTGCCGTGCATGATGGGAGCCAATAGCGGGGATGGTGCCTCTGCCCTCGGGCCGACCCGAGGTAGAGGCGCAGAAGGGAGTAGGAGAGATGCTGGGGGGCCTTACTTTTGGTGAGGGAGCAGTTCATTTGGGAGCATCGCTGTTTCAATATTTATCTTCAAGCTGCATGACCAAGTCCATTGGCAACATTTTTCCCTTGCCATCAGCCTTTTGCTCCCTCAAGAGACTATTCCCGAACAAGAAGGACGAGGAGTTGAGGATTCTTCAGAACATGATTTGGTCATTGAATCATCTTAATGGCTCCCCCCCCTGCCAACAGCGGCTTTTGGGGGGTCTCATGGATGAAGCGTGCGCCGCTGGTCGGTGGCTGGAAAAGGCGGAGTTCCTGGACTGGGGTGAGTTCTTCAGAGTCAAAGGGGTTGATTATCAAGGAGAAGAGGTCAAAGTTGCACGTGCGGTTTCTTGGGAGATGTTATCCCCTGCGTTGCCCTCGGAAGTTGGGACGGTCGCCCTTTCTGACGTTTTGTGATGCAGGGTATCTTCTCCCGGTTGAGGACCAGGTGTTCACGAAAGGGCCCAAGGTCATGGTTCCTCCCGGGGATTGGGAGGAGCTCGCAACAAACCTGGTTCAACGAGGCATTTGCAAAGTCATTGAGGAGTCAGAGGTTTATCACGTTCAGGACAAGCCCTTGTTGAATGGTCTCTTCGGGGTTTCGAAGGGCGACTGGTCAGGCGAGATTGAGGTCCACCGGCTCATCATGAACTTGATACCCTTGAATCGTATTTGTCGGGGTATTGAGGGCGATATTGCTACTCTTCCTTCGTGGAGTTCCATGGGACCACTGTCGCTGGATATCGATGAGGACCTTCTCATTTCAAGCGAGGGCGTGAGATGTTTCTTTTATATTTTTAAAGTACCCGTTTCTTGGCATAGGTTCATGGCTTTCAACCGCCCTCTGCCTAAAAGCCTCTGTGAAGGGAAATCTGGTACATGTTACCTGGCGGCGACTGTTCTTCCGATGGGTTTCAAGAATTCTGTGAGCATTGCCCAACATGTACATCGGTATGTTTTGCGGCAGGGCTTGATGAACTCAGGTCGCCTGAATGGAGGGGATCAGGAGTTGAGGCGTGACAAGCCTTTTCCTTCTTCTAGCAACATGTTTCGTATTTATTTGGACAATTTTGACGAGCTCACAAAGGTGAACAAGGACCTACCCGCCACGTTGAAGGGAGAGTTGACTCCTACTGTGTTGGCCCTTCAGGAGGCGTATGCAAGATGGAACATCCCAAGGCACCCCAAGAAAGCTGTGGCCCTCCAATCTCAGGCAGAAGTACAGGGAGCTGTGGTTGACGGGGTGCGTGGCGTTGCCTATCCCAAGGTGGACAAGATCCTGAAGTATGTGGTTTTGGGGCTGAAATTAGCCAGTTCTACCTTTAGCACGCAACGACAAGCTCAGATTGTGGGAGGGGGTTTCGTTTATATGACTATGTTCCGTAGGCCCCTCCTTTCGGCGCTGAACCACATATGGTCTTATATCAAGAGCTTCGAAGGTCTGAAAGAAGGATCCGTCCTACGTACTCCTGAGTTGGTCAAGATGGAGATCTTGAGGTTTGTGGGTTTGGTTCCCCTTGCACATTTTGATTTCCGTACAGAGATCCAGGGGATGGTTACAGCAAGTGACGCTTCGTCGACGGGGGGAGGCGTAACCCGGAGCAAGGGCCTGAGCCCGTGGGGAGTTATAGCCTCCCAAAGGCCACAGCGAGGTGACCTTCCTGAACCCTTTGATTTTTGCGGGGTGGTGACCATTGGGCTCTTCGATGGCATTGGTGCACTTTGAGTTGCGGCGGAGGCCTCGCGGCTGCCATTGCTGGGTCACATTGCTGTCGAGAAGAACGCAGAGGCCAGGAGGGTTACAGAATCCAGGTACCCTGCCTCCCTTATGTGGGAGGATGTTACTACGGTGGATGCCGAGGTGGTAAAGGGTTGGGCCACCCATTTTTCGCAGGCAAGTTTGATCGTCGTGGGAGCTGGGCCCCCGTGCCAAGGTGTCAGTGGACTCAACGCTGACCGTAAAGGTGTTCCTAGGATACTGGAACTGGTTAAACAGGCTTTTCCCTGGTGTCAAGTTCGTCTTCTTATGGAGTCAGTTGCCTCAATGGACGACACGGATCGTCTCCTTATGTCAGCATCTGTGGAGCTATCACCCGTTCGAATTGATGCAGCAGGAGTTTCAGTCGCACATCGACCTCGACTTTACTGGTTTGATTGGGAGGTCCCTGACATGCCAAACGTTCATAAGAAAGACGGAGCCGTGGTTGACATCGAGCTTGACGCCTCTATTGACCCCAGTATTTATTTGGAACCTGGATGGTCCATGAGGGGAACTGAGAAGCTACCGACCTTTACCACATCTCGACCTCGAAATTTCCCTGGGCATAGGCCGGCGGGACTCAACAAGTGTTCCCCTGAGGAGCGTCAGAGACGGGAAGACGATTCTTTTCGTTTCCCCCCTTACCAGTACAGGACTTGTTACTGTCTTTTCAACAAGGCTGGTGAGGTTCGTCTGCCCAATGTACGAGAGCGAGAGTCAATGATGGGGTTTCCCATCAACTACACTGAGAACTGCCTCCCGAAAAGTGGTTCAACTCCCACGCAAAAGACTGATACGCGGCTCACGCTTCTTGGCAATTCATGGAACGTGACAGTCATCACTTTCCTTTTGAGCTGCTTGGGATCAGTATTGGGTCTATGCCCGCAATTGACCCCTTCAGACGCAGTGGAGGCTACAAAGCCTGGCACAGGACGCAATTTTATGGATTTTTTTGCAGCGACCCCCCCTATCGTTTTCCCGAAAAAGAGGGTCGAAGGAGGAGGAGCTCACTCTCGCCAAGAAATTCCTCAACCATGTCAGTTTGAAGGGAGAGGATATTTTAGTTCACTCGTCCGCTGAGGAACAGTTGAAGTTTCATAGGTTGCGGGCTAGCATCCCTTCGCAGTGTTGGAGGTGGGTGACTGTTGCTGGCTGGGGTTGGAGAGGAGACCCCGAGCACATAAATTGCCTGGAACTCCGGGCCATTTTAACCAGTGTCAGGTGGTGGATTGAAAAACGCAAAGTGGCTCGTGCCAAATTTATTCACTTGACGGACAGTTTAGTATGCATGCATTCCCTTGCCCGAGGGCGTACCAGCAGTCGCAAACTTCGCAGAACTTTGACCCGCATCAATTGTCTTCTTTTGGCCTCCCGTTGTTTTCCGGTGTGGGCGTATGTCCACACGTCTCAGAATCCAGCCGACCGACCGAGTCGGCGTAGTGTCCGGAAGAAATGGGTAAAATGAGCCCTGAATGCGTTGAAGGGAGAACCAAAGAAGACAGGGTCAAAATTCGCAAGCGACTTGGCAGTTTAAAACAAATCACAGTTCAGCCAGCTACTCGTGTCCGGTATGACCGAGCTTTGAAAGGATTCTTTTCCTTCCTCAAATTTAATGGGAAGGTTCTTCCGACTGATCAATCCTTTTTGGATGAATTGGTCGGCGAATATTTGGAGCATTTATGGGCAAACGGTGAAGGCAGGGCCCTGGGGTCTGATACTTTAGCCGCCATACAAGATGCGCAACCCCAGGTACGAGGCAAGCTCCAGCAAAGCTGGAGACTTATGAAGACTTGGGTTTCTAATGAAATGCCAAATCGTGCGCCTCCAATTTCCGAAGATATCCTTCACGCGCTAGTTGGTCTGGCGCTTTTCCGGAAGGATCCGCTTTTTGCCCTTTCACTCCTTGTCGGCTTCTATTCCATGTTGAGGACTGGCGAAATTTTGGGTATTATGAAATCCCATGTTTCTCCGGGAGTTGGATTTACTCCCGCAGTCATTTCACTTGGTCTTACCAAGGCTGGTAAGCGGCAGGGTGCCGCCGAAAGCGTCACCGTGTCAGTCGCTGATGTCGTTCGTCGACTCTCACAGTGGAAGGAGTCTGCGGTGACTCCCGTCAACTTGTGTCCCGCGCCCCATAAGTGGCGTCAGAAGTTCGCGCAATATCTCAAGGATCTGCACTTGGACGCTTTTGAATTTCGTCCATACAGTTTACGGCGCGGTGGGGCAACCTTTTGGTTTCGTAAACATGGGTCTTTGGATAAGATTCTTGTCCAGGGACGTTGGCAGGCGCAGAAGACCGCCTGTATTTACCTTAATGAGGGGTTAGCCATTCAGGCTGAAATGAAAACACCCAACCATCCGGATGTGGGGGTGTTCAAAAACCAGTATCTGGCCGCGGTCAAAGCATCGTTGCCGAAATTTGAGCATGCCAAAGGCAGGACTGGGGGACGTGGAAAGCAGGTCAAAAGTGAGGTCGAGGGGTAATCCGACCCTTTTCAAAACCGCCCTGAGGGAAGACGGCGGTTTGAGTTTTAAGGAGTCGAGGGGTAATCCGACTCGAAAGACTCAACCCCCTTTTAGTTTCTGGGCTTGGCCAGACAAAGTGGGGTGGTCTTTAATCAAGGCTGGGGCTGGGGCTTACCTGGGCTTGGCCAGGAAGACCCCGGGGTCTTGAACAACCTACTGGGAGGAGGTGTTGGTATTTAATGCAGTTTTCAAGTTTCAATTTTTCAGACAAATCTGGTCTTGCAGCGCGGAAAAGAGCAAGCCAGAATGAATCTTTGATGTAACGCCCCGGTATGTAAAGATGAATTAGGTTTGCGTTCCGCCAGATTTCGGCTTGCGGGCCACACCCTCCCGCCCAGTGGAAGTGAGGTCGAGGGGTAATCCGACCCTTTTCAAAACCGCCCTGAGGGAAGACGGCGGTTTGAGTTTTAAGGAGTCGAGGGGTAATCCGACTCGAAAGACTCAACCCCCTTTTAGTTTCTGGGCTTGGCCAGACAAAGTGGGGTGGTCTTTAATCAAGGCTGGGGCTGGGGCTTACCTGGGCTTGGCCGGGAAGACCCCGGGGTCTTGAACAACCTACTGGGAGGAGGTGTTGGTATTTAATGCAGTTTTCAAGTTTCAATTTTTCAGACAAATCTGGTCTTGCAGCGCGGAAAAGAGCAAGCCAGAATGAATCTTTATATATATATATATATATCAGATCAATCTCATAGGTTGCCCCCAACAATTCCCCGCTTCCCTTACCCCTATCAGGGCCTTGCTTGGAGGAAACCGCGGATTAGTTGGGGGAGGGCGTTTGGATATTTGGCATGTCTCAAAATTTGTACCCCCCCCTCACACACAAAGAGCAGTGGGCACTTTGTTCCCTCTAAAACCACACCAAAAAGGGTACCCTGAAAAAACACAATCTCACGCACATCATCACACGTCCATAGGCAGCGTTTCTCTGGCCAAGCCCGCCCACACCCCTCCCCGCCCCGACCGAAACGCTGGGCTTCGGGTTTCGTAGACGGCGGTGGCGCTGATCCGCGCGGCCGAAGACGGCAGCCTGGACAAAGCGCTGCGCGAGACCTTGGGCGGCAGCAAGGAGCGGTTTTTCGGCCAATGGCAGCGGCAGAGAAGCCTTCCCTGTGGGGCTTTGAGGTTTTGGGACATGCAGCTGGGTGAAAGAAGTCGCAGTTGTGAAACATATGTTTGAGTGATGAAGGCAATTGTGCCATTTGCTTTCACGCTGGTGCAAATGGAGGGTAAGGGGCCGCCCTTTCGAGTCTGGAGGAATTAAATCGACATTGGGCACGGGTTTACTGCCCATTGGCTTACTCAGAAGAATCATGGAGACCAACAATAAAAGCCTTGGGTTTAGAGCAATCTTGGGGAGTGCCAACAGTTGGGTTCCATCTCTCAGTTTGGGTTCCTGGGTGACAGGGGAGGGGGTGAGCCTTGATTTCCAGCCAGGACACGGAGCTCGAGGATTTGCGCGAGCAGGTGGGGGTTCAGTCCGTGTCTGAAACCCGTGGCTGGTTCCACTATTGTACCCCGCAGTGAAGGGGACTGGGAGCAATTTGACGGCCCCCGCACGTAGCTTACTTCCCTCAATTTTTTGGCACCCTTGACGGTGCAATTTTCGGACTTGATCCTTTTTTGGGGAAGATTGGCGGGGAAACACACACTTTGGCCTGCTGGGCCAATCCCGCGGGGGCGCAATCAAGCGCTCCTGTCGGGCCTGACAGGTCCAGTGTCCGTGACGAGTACACAGGTTTCTCCGAAGTGACTCTGGAGGTTGCATTGAAGCTCTGCATAATAAGGAACCTCGAGGGTCCTGTTTGGGATGAAATTTGAGAGCCCGACTCCTTTTGGTTTCTCTTTAAAGGTTCTGAGGGTCTGGTGGAGCATTTTTTGCCAGAACCCTGTGAGGCGGACCTCTAATTTTGGGCCCGTGTTGCTTGCTTCCATACTGATAACACACACCCTTGTGGCTCTTAGTATCCCAGATATTCGAGGTCTGATTTACCTTCAAGCTTGCTTGTTAGGGAATGCGTCAACATGCTGGCGACGCCTTCAAATGATGGCTCTTGTTTGTTTGGCTTTATTCTTGAGGCAACTCTTAGTTGGGGGCTTGGATTGGTAATTTAGATTTAAAACGCTAGTTTCTTAGGAAACGGGAGTTCAACCAAATCATCCCCTGAGCTTCCAGCAATTCTGGGTTCCATGTCTTGTGATCCGAGTTGGGTTTGATATACGCCTTCGACTCGACTAAACCCTCGTCGGATCTCGAAGTGCCAAAATTGAGCTGAGGTGCCTGGACCAGCACCATTTATGGGTTGGATCCCCACGTCAACATGGATCAAAATTTGTCTCCACCAGCTGGCCGGGTTTAAGAGCAAACGAGCAGAAGACGACCGTTTACCGAGTCACCAACAAGCAGACGCGCAAGATAAGGATTTCCAACCACCAGCCAGACAACGATCGGTTCGAGTAGCTTTTCAGCGAGAGCGAGTCGCATGACCGCTGCCTTGGGCCCGGCGCCAGGCCCGATCCACCCTTCTGCAGGGCGCCAAAGACGGGTCACTGCAGGCGGGGGCGTGGCTCCCTAAACGAAATACTCCACTTTTGAGTCGTGGTTTGGTAGGCAAAGGAAACCCTCCATTTGGGGGGTGGGGGTTCATGCTTTTTGGTGGGGACACCAATAGAAAAGCCAGAATCCATTTTTGGGGGTCGATTCCTATTTGAGACACCCATTGGGGGGTTTCCGGGAATCGGTCCAAATTCCTATCATGGCAAAGGTGTCCTTTTGCTTTCAAACAAACAAGAAGGTCTGAATTCCATGCGGGAATTCGCCTGTTGAGAAGCACCCATTTTGGGGGTGAGCTAAATGGTTAGGGCTAAGTACACGGGGCTACACCTTTGTGGTTTCTCTTTTCGGCAACCATTTCGAGAGATCCCAAAAAGGTCAATCATTACTTACCGGTCTCGGCAATGTGGCAAGGGTCATGTGCTCCCCATGGGATAAATGACCCCATGTTCCGAGTACTTTGCGGTTGCAGTTACTGCCCAAGTAACCTGGAACCACGGGGGTGGCAATTCCGAGTGTGCACCTGACCTTGCAAGCATGGCCGCTGTTCTGGGAGTTTCTCAAAATGCAACCCCACTTTTGGTTGGCATTTTTAAAGGGAAGCCAAAAGCAAATCAACCATAGGGGACGAATTCCGCTCTCACCCTGTTCTCCTTTGACCAGGCAGCTCTCAAGAGCACCCGGGAGGCGACACGACTCGGGGGGCTGGTGCTTCATTCGTCAAAAGACGGTGGATGATTCACTCAACATTGAGAAGGATATGCTCAAAATGGGGGGACCACAAGAATCATTGATTTCTTTGTGGTTTCCCTGTTAAACAACCAGGGCATCCAATCGCAACAGCATTAAGGCTCAGAAGGAGTGGGCACAGGCGAAAGCTCAAAAGATGGGAGCGCTTATGAAAGATGGCGCCAGTCGATGCCCTCATAGGAAGCCATTCAAGCTACGAAACTATATCGGCTATATACTACTCATCCAATTATATTGGGATACAACTGGTGCGGGTTGACTATGGCAAGAATCAGCCTTTCAAACGATATGCCTACAGTCCATGTCATTAACTGTCCCTGATCGTTGCTTCATAGACACCGTCAAGAAAGGAGCTCACCATAAGATTTCTTGGAACACAGTGAGTACACGGGCGCTCACGGCAAATTGACTTGAAATGAATAAACGAAAAGGTCAGATCCAAATGGAAGTTTCTCTACTCGGATCATGTCACTTTCCTGTTGGTCTCAAAGGGTGCCCATTTAAAGTACGTTTTGAGGGATTTTGGAGAGCAACCACCTGGAGGCGTCTCTCATTTTGAGACGCGCCTTGTTTCCAGTTCTTCACCGCCCTCTAAATCCCCGCTTTTTCTTTTTCTCCAATGCGCACACCTGGGTTCCCCGGGGCCCCGAGACTTACGGCTATGATTTACAGGGAAATGATGGGCGCATCTCATCCCCCGCTTGATGGGCGACTGTGCGAATGGCAAAGTGGACTACCAAAGCTTTTTGTTTGTTCTTCTTTGTTCTTCCGACTGGATTGGTGGACTCCAAACAGGCTCCAATTCTTTGTCTTACAACTGTGCAAGCCGGGCAGGACGGCAAGGTGGAAGAACTCCGGATTCAGGCACGGAGTCGATGGGGTTGCCATGGGTCCGTTGCCTGCTGTCCCTAGGCCATAAGCACCGAAAGTTGGCTTGTCGCTGCTACTGAAGCAGCTCAACTCACATGAATCACGGAGCTCGATTTTGAAACTGATCGACTCACTGCGCCCTCTGATGGATCCAAGATTGATACTGTCCTGTACCGTTGAATTCGCACAACATGTTGGTGCCTGACATGCCACTCCCACGGCACAAAACATAAACACCCAGCGGCTATACATAGCCACAGGTTTTTTTTGGAAAGGGGTGGAATGGCTGGGCAAGAGGAGTTTTGATGCCCTCAGTGACTCAGCCCCAATCACTCGGTCGGCCAATCGACCTTTTGCTCCTGCGGTACATCGAACTATGTATCATTTGTCCCGGCCGTTGTCGGACCATTTGTTGTAAGCAAAATTGAGCCATGTTTCATTCGCCTTTCACTTTGGCATATGTGGCTCAAATTTTAGGAGCCAGTGGACCGCAGGTTTTTAGTCTACTTTCCCATTTACCAGGGTTCCGTCTCGTGCGGATTCCTGTTTTGATCCACACCCATATCTATTTACAGTTGGTTGTTTTTGCTGTCACACATGCAGCCTGAGGAAGATTCGAAGTTACACGCCAGTGTGATAGGGATATTCCCGAGCCATAAGGCCAAGGGATTTCTGGTTAGGGAGTAGACTTGCTTGTGAAAATGTGTTTCCGAGAGATAGGGACCCTTTTGGACTTTAAGAGAAGAAACGACTGCACGCCTACCAGTTTTAAGATCCTTGCGGTGTGAATGCAAGCGTATATCTCATAGTTGGCTACCAGAACCCCCACAAATCGATGTTTCTCAATCTTAGGGGCGAGTCAGAGAGGTGGTTTCCTGCGTAGAACCATCCAACAAGGGGTTCCCCTGTATTGAGACAGAATTCCTGAGCTCACCGCACCGGGATACCACAAGCACACACAGGCTGACGGTTCACTTGGGAATGCCGCAAGATAGGTTGATGACTTATGGGGCTACGTAACCAGCCACTTTCACTGGGCATGCCGATTTCAACACTACCCCACTCATCCCTTCCGTCATCGATCAGCCGGCCTCCAAACAGGACTTCCACCCCATCCCCCACAAAGGACCCAACAAAAACTGACCGAGGTTCTTACCATGCAAAATCCAGGCCCCAACACCGCCCCAAGACCCACCGGCCAGCCGCTCCCAGCCGCAGGCACGGGATGCTCTGCTGCGTGCCTCCATGAGTGGAGCCTTGGAGAAAGCCCTGGGCCAAGGCGGGGCCGCTGGCGGCTCCTGCCGCCGCGCAAGTTGTCCCAGGGGTTTCGGCTGAAGTGAAAGTGGGCCCGGGCATGTTTGGCGTCTAGATACATGGAGGGTCTTTTCTCCTTCAAAACAAAATCAAGAGTAGGTGTCATGTTTGTTTTGCTCCAACAACTAGCCAGATGTTCTTTCAAATGAAACAGAAAAAACCTTCCCACTTGTCCAGTTCGTTCTAGCAAGAAAGCCAGCTCACTTCGAGGGCGAGTCTTCGCAGTCCAACGCCTTATTTGACCAATTGGTTGCGCGGTCTACTTTTAGATGTCACCACGAGGTTACCCTTTGTTACTTGATCCTTGCAAGATATTTCCCGGAAATTCGAGGGAGAAGGGACCGTGTTCGGGAGATAGCTCGATGGGACCTATGGACAAGGACCCAAATGTGAAGCCGGTTGTTATACCCAGAGCCTCGGATCGAGCAGTCAGGACAGCTGAGATTGGGGGGGAAGCCCACACAGCACACAGGCGCCATTCAAGCTGTGTGTGTGTGTTTGCGTTTGCTGTATATTCGATCGGTTGTTTGTTTGTGGTTTGGTTTGGACCGGTGTGGTTTATTTGTTTGTTTGCTTGCTTGCTTGCTTTCTTGTTGTTTGTGTTTGAGGGGGTATGTTTAGTGGATTTGGCGTGATTTGAGCTGGCTGGCTTTGATTTCGATCTGGTTTGATCCTCTTGGAGTTGTCCCGTGTTCGGCTCGCCAGGGAAGACGCCGAAGGCGAGCGCTCGGGGGGCGCTTTCAGGCTGAAGCTTCGTCCCTGACACCCACCAGGGCAAGGATGAAGGTTCAATACTTTTTATTTGCAAACTTGATGTTCCCGCCGAGGGGGTGAGCCAGAAAGCCCCGAGTGGGGGATTTGGAGGAACGGAAAAGTCTTTGCTGGTGCTGTTGTTTCTGGAGTTAGGGGCTGCGTGGAGCTGAATGGATAGCTTGATACTTTCGGGAGAGGGATTTTGGTGGCACCCACAACATTTCCGGACTTTTGTTGCAGACAAGTTCGTTGAAGGGAACCTATCTGGGAAAGCATGCTATGTAAACAATAATCTTAGTGGCAAAGGGTGTTGGGTCCTTCTTCCAACTGGTGTCCACCAGTTACTCCCAATTCCCAGGGGTTTAATACAGCCACTCGCCACTGTCCCATGTTCTCGCAGGCCGCCAAGGCGACTCCCGCGTTCCAGATGGAGAAGCCGGCGTTCAAGTTCACCCCGCGGGGCGCTTGGCAGAGTGCGCTTTGGCCCAAAGGGTTGCCGCTCCTGCCCTCACCCTTTGTTTCATCATGTCCCTTGCTGGCTGCCTTCCAGGCCCAAACAGGGCTCCTTGTCTAGATAGGTGTGTCTTTTTCAGGGCACCCCTCCAAAATTGTGGTTTTCCTTTTGGTTTCCCCGCCGCGATTCAGGAGTCCTCACCGAAGGGCCGCTCCGGGTCGCTGAGGTCTGTAGGGTCGTGGCTCCAGAGGAAGCCCCCGCAGGCGACGTTGGACTTTGTGTTCTGCTGGAAAGCGGGCAGGGGAAAACGTCCGCAGCGCAGCATGTTTGGTTCAACAGACCCTGGCCCCAGGCTTTCAATCAACTGGTGATATTTAAGCGGTTTGCTTGCCAAACTTTTGCAAGATGCCAAAACATGCCCAATGTGCTACAGCGGAACATTACTTTATCTCGGTTGCAAATGCGACACTGTTCACAGGCCTTTCCGCCATTTTGTTGTTTGGGCTTTCATCATTCCGCCGATGACTGGGGAAAAGTGAGAGATGTGTTGCGTCAAGTCGGTAAAACCGCATGCCCATGTTCAGCCATGTCCACTGCAGGAGAGACGGACGGTAGTATTGGTGGTCGGTGGTTCATTTAGGAAGGGCATGAGCGGAGTACACACTACACACAAAAGGGAGGGCTACCTCCAGAAAGTGGATGGGTAGTGATGTTGTCAGGTGTCCAGAATATGGTTGACCTTTTTCTCGGGATATGTCAATTGTGGGTGCATAAGTATGACCTGGGACTTCCGTGCAGTGAATTTGTTCACAGAAATGGTTTTGGATAGGTTTTCCAGCTCTTCCATCCTCTGGGATATAAGTTGCAAAGGCTACATAAGCTGGCTGCTTACTTGACACCCGGCTGAAGTGTCATCAATTACTTACTCTAAAAAAATGAATGCAAACATTTGATCCAACTCAAACCTGTCAGTCAAAGCCAGTTCATCTCAAGCAAACCTTTCGGGCGCACAGGCTTGTGAAGGACCTTGCTCAGCAAATCACTCATACACCAGCACCTTCGGGTTGCTGGGTGAAATCGGAGGGAGCTCAGTAACTAAGGTACTCAATCTAATGCAGAACGATTGTTTCGGTTCGTTTTGTTGTTGTCTTTGCTTCAAACCAACTCCGAAAAGTGCCGTACTGTTTGTCAGAGCCTTCAGAAAGAATTCAGAAAGACACGTCCGTTGGGTCCGAATCGTACTTCTGCAAAAGATAGGCTGTCCACAGAAATAGCGACTCACACAAATGGCAGGGGTTTCCTTTTAGGTTTTCGTTTTTCGACCCTCGACGAAAAGGGTCCCCTTGTTTCCTGCTGGCAAGCTCATACCTTGATCCAGAGTACCTTGTGTCAGGTAGAGAAGCCGTGGTACTACACCGCCGTGCCCGTGCAGGCAGAGGACGTCAAGGCGCGGGCAAGCGAGCACAAAGTGCAACTCACGTCACAGAGTACAGCTTTGGCCCTCATCAAAGGTGTTCTTAGAGTCCAGCAAACCGACCTGGTCGCATGGGTGTCAAAGACCAATATACTACGCCGAAGAAGGTACCTCTACTGTTGGCTGCTGTTGGCGTACCTGTTGATCTTGTTGCTCCTGTTGTGGTGCAATCTAGGAGCCAATCTCAAAGTGCACATTGGTTTTGGTTCTCCCAATATTGCCATTAAGGATACATAGGTTTGGGAGTACAACCCGCCAGCAGAATAACAATCTGCTGGATGATGGTTGTTGAATTCCCGCGAACCTGCCAGCAGTGCGTTAGCTAGCCACTGCTACCGAAGGTGGTCAAGGATTTGCAGGCGGTCATTGCCGAGAAGGACCATGAGATCGAAGCGTTGAAGGCGTGCAAATTGTGTTTGCATGTGTTGGTGGCTTGGTGTGTGTGTGTATTTGTGTGTGTGTGTGTGTGTTCGTGTTCGGCTTTCTTTTGTTTTTCGGTTTCTTTGGTTGGCTGGTTGGCTGGTTGGCTGGTTGGCTGGTTGGCTGCTTGGCTGCTTGGCTGCTCTGCTTGGCTGCTTGGCTGCTCTGCTTGGCTGCTTGGCTGCTTGACTGGCTGGCTGGCTGGCTGGTTGGTTGGTTTGCGTTGCCTTGCCTTGCCTTGCCTTGCCTTGCCTTGCCTTGCCTTGCCTTGCATTGCATTGCATTGCATTGGCTTGCTTGCTTGCTTGGTTGCTTGCTTGCTTGCTTGCTTGCTTGCTTGCTTGCTTGCTTGTGTTTGTTTGTTTGTTTGTTTGACTGATTGTATTTGGCTCGTTTGATGTCGCGTGTGTTGTGTGTTGTGTGTGTGTGTGTGTACGCGTGCATGGTGCTTTCCTGTGTTTGATATGATATCTTGATATGTGTTGCTTTGGGTGTTTTGTTTGCGTTTAGAGTCGTGTCACGTGATGCTGGCGGTGACTGCCAGCCCATGAGACCTTGGCCAAGCATTGAATTCGGTCTCCGCATCCATAATTCCGCTTCTGGCACTTCCGACCCATGTTCATTGGATTGCTACTGCGCTACTGCTACACAATCCGACAGGTTTTTGTTTTCAAGATGGGTCCCGACTCTTGTCGGGCTGGTTTTGAAATGAGAGCCAGCATAATATGCAGCATAAAACCAACCATCTGGACGGGGGGTCCGATTGCCAGACACAGCAAGGCATCATGTCAAAGGTAGATGTTCAATTTCTGGCAGCCTAGCTGTTACTGTGCAGTGCGCGTGTGCTCAACTGTTCCAACGCCAACAGAACAATGAATGATTGTTTCTGTGATAGCGCGCACTGTCGTGTTTACTATAGGCCTATAGGCTGAACACACTGTCCACTTAGCATTCGTAAGCGCTCTTGGATGTTTCCTAGAATTAGGAAGGCCCTTTGGATGTTCATGCTGCTCAGAAGCATGCAGCTCTCTTGAGGGGTGCCTTTGTTGTATCAAACAAAGGTGTTCGATTTGGCTTTGCGTGTAGCGTAGTTGCTCTTTTTAGGGTTGGTTTGAAGGGAATGCAAAAGGCAACCCATTCCCGCGGTTCAAAGTCGCTGAGGCCAAGATTGCGGCGGGCGGGCTGAACCTCGGATCTGCGCCGGCGTTGCCGCCGCCGGCAGCCAAGGCGGGTCCCGACACGAGGAGTGGACCCAGCAGGTTCTCCCTTGGTGGGCTCCCTTTCTAAACAACCAACAAGAAGAGGTGTTGTGTGTTGTCCACGAGAAGCCACGCCCTATTGTTTCTTTATTTGGGCTTGCTTGGTGCTTTCCATGTCTATCAATCCGGCAATCATGCCAAGTCCTGGTTCCCCAAAGGAGAATCAGTGGGCAGGCACAGGGAGGTTTGAGAAAATGCAACAGCTACTTGCACAATAGTTTATCCAGGATCACCCCCCAGCTTAGTTGACTGTTGGTTCAACCCCAGCCGACCTGGCTGACCGACAGTTGCTCTAGCAAACCCTCTTGCATAATCAGGATCAGACGAAATTTCTGGTCCTACCAAGGAAATAAGCATAGAACCGCTGAAACCAAAGCTATATTATAAGGCCAATGTCCTTAGGGTTGGTGGCAAACCCCCTCCACACCCGGCCTTCTCGTCTCGGCTAGGCGCAAGCGGAGGCATCGGCCCCAATGAAGTCGGCCCCTGCCCCTGCCAAGAACAAGGAGACGTCGCTGGCGAACTTCAGGCGGGAGGGTCGTTGCTAATCCGCTGCTACAGTGGGGTTCTGCTGCTGAACCCTTTAATTTATTTTTGGGTGCCTTCAACATTCCGAAGCCAGTAAGGGGCAAGCGGACTACATGGGCCTTACCGAAATACAGGACCTCAGTTTTGGATGGTGTGTCATTTGTCTTGAAGGGTTACAAGTCTTTATGACAATCTTGGTGTCACTGATGCACTACCCCGGTGGAACTCCCGCGAAGTCTTGTCAAGTTCCACCAGGTCTTATCGGCAAGCTGGTCCACTCAAGGGTATGTCTCACAACAGGAAGTTGGACTCTAAATTCGGTGATGTTTGTTGGTTTCCCCAAAAACAAACCCCAAAAAGGGCACCCAGCCTCAAGAAATCGCACATGTACTACGTACACATACTACATGATGGTTACAAAGGTAGGTTGAGCCCTTGGTCCTTGGCGACCTGAACTGCTTCCTGAGGGTCTGATTGCATTCTGCTCCACTGAAGCTATGGAGAGGAGAGGGAGGGGTTCACTTCACAGATGGGTGTCAGGTTCCTTGCTCGGATTCAGATTAGCTTTCAACGAGGCCACAGCGACTTTGTGTGTGTCGCTAGTTTTGACACACACACACACACATGGGTGTCTATCTTTTTAGGGAATCTCCTCTTGGTTGGTTTAAGGGGAAATCAAAAAGGAACACCATCATTTTGGGGGATCCCGAAAAATTGACACACCAAATATAGCATCCATATGAGACCGTTGACAATGTAGCCGTGCGAGTGAGCGATGTGAGGCGAGTTCAAGAGCAACCAAGTTGCAATGGTTCAACATTGGTTACTCAAACGTGAGACTACAACATCAGCGCCTGTGGATGTGTGTGTGTGTGTGTGTGCGCGCGGGTGTGTGTGTGTGTGTGGTGTTTGTGTGTGTGGTGTGTGTGTGTGTGTGGTGTGTGTGTGTGTGTTTTTAGGGGACCCCCCAAAATGGTGGTTGGTAAGCTCAAGAACGACACGTCCATATGATTGTACAGTAGCTCTAGTGGAAAGCAAGATGTGATATCTGCAAGTGTCTAAAAGGGAAAATGGAAGACGGTCCAGGCAAGTCTGGTTTTCTTTTGGCAGCGACGGTTCCTTTTGATAGATCCCGGCCCGTTTCTTGCGGCTCTGAGATACTTCCACCCCAACACTTTCAGGGGTTCGGAGGGACATACAAGTTTGAGGGTCCAGGCAGCTACTTTTAGGCCGCTGAGAGGGTAAACACCCTAACTTGTTTCATGCGGTGGTTTTGGGATGATGGGAGCTATCTTGAGCATTTCAACGCGAAAGTCCCAGGCAGTACTACGTGGACCAAGTCCTGTGCACCTCCGCGCTGAGCTCGCTGGAGGCGGAGTTCGAGTGGGGTTCGTTGTGGCCGGAGTCCTCCTTTTTGAGATTTGCTAAAAACAGGGGGCTAGACAGACACCAACCAGTTCTCATGGCCCCTCCTATGCAGGCACCCCCTTCAGTTCCATGTTTAGTGTACGATGCAGATTTGGCTTTGGTTGGGAGAACTGCTTGCTAACCATACCTATTATGAACCTGCCAAACCCTCGTTTGAAGCAGTAAGCCCTGCCCCAGGTTAGGTGTCGACGGATTCTGCTGGTTTCAAGTGGAATCAGGTGGAATCCAAGGACAATAGATGATTTGCCTCCTATTTTGCCAAAGGCACTAGCCGCTAGCCCCGTGCTTTCAGCTTCCGCGCCAGAAGCTCTACTCCAAGTTCCCGGCTCAGCCCAAGCCAAAACCTGCGCCGAAGCCGGCAGCTTCGCCCGTGGCGGGATTCCCCAGATTTAGACGTGTGCGGAGGATCCAGTTGATGCAAGGGGCTGAATATTTGCTAACCTGACAGTATGTCCCATGGTCGCGGTGTTAAAGTACCGCACAACCCCATTTTGAGAAAATATGTTGGCCCCCCAAGTAGTGTCCAACTAAGTACTTGCTAGTATTGGTTTAGTATTGCTCAGAGTTGTGTTAGTAAGCTGGGCGCAGGGTGGGGTTCGTGCATACTTTGGGCAGCCCTCATTTTATTTAGTTTTGTACAGCCCCCTGTCGGTGGCGGTTCCAGTTTGCGCGATCCGCCCAAGGTCGCCAAAGTTGCTCTGCTCAAAACCTTGATGATGTGTCTCTGTTTTTTTTTGGAGTTTGCTAACCTGGGCATTTCGAGCGAAAGGATCATTCAGAAAATGCGTTCATGGAGATGTCCTATTTTGGATGCTGGATTGTTGTTGCGTGCGAGTATGTCTACAACCTATGTTTGTTGTTGACCATTGGTTTGCTTAAGTTTTGAGGCTTGAGGTTGCATCATGAATTGCTGTCACCTCTGGCTTTTGCTCCTTGGAATCCTTGACAAATGAGTTCTTGCCCCAACATTGTGAGGTGAGTTCCCATTTTAAAGGGTAGTTTGAGGGTCCAGGTAGACTCTTCTGTGAAGTAGTCTCTGAACAAGTTTTTGGAAAGTCGGGCCACGGTTTGGAAACTTTGGGCGCCAAAACTGTCTCCGGAGATGTGGCGTCGGCGTTCAATGAGTTGGACGCCGAACCACTTTTTGGCCAAGACACACTTATGGGGTGGAATCTCTGATTAAAACTTAAAGGTAGAATTCGGCCAACTCACACCCATGGCCTTTTCCACCAGACCAAAAAGGAGACCATCAAAATATGAGGGTCCTGTTAAGGATAGTAAAGTTTGTTGTTGCTCAGCAGGGAATGAAACATGGAATGACCCGTACAAGCCATGCAACTCTTTTCCTTTATTCGGGGACCATCGCCCGGGTTGGTTCCATGCAACTCATTCCCTACCTATCGCACCAGCGTCGGTTCCCTTGCGAAGTCCCTAGGCGTCGGCGCCCAGGCCGAGGCCTCAAAGCGATACATGACATGTGTGGTGTTTGCCCGGTAGATTTTAGTCATCTCGTTTGTTTGCTGAGTTTTACGTATACAAGGAATCATGTCTTGTTTGTGTCTTCTTCTGACACATGGTCATTTGTTCATTCAGTTGTTGATTTGATTTTCTTTCCTGCTGTTCATATTTGTTTTGTTTCTGTTGCTTTTCTTTTGGAACTGCATCTAACAAGAGGTCCCCTAGGTTTGTCACTTTTAGCTGGGGCCGCAACCCGGCCATGGCCCTTTTATGACTCTGAACCAATGAGAGAACTGATTGATCCGAGCCAATAACACCAGAACTAGCCGAACTACGTTATGAATCAACATATGGTCCTCGTCTGATTTCTATTGGATCCAGTACTATCAAGGACCACAATACTTTCGGCTAGGAACAAAGAATCGATTCAATGACATTAAATGTGTTTTTCCTTTTGTAGACCCACAGGACGAGGTATTGAAAGAAGAAAGGAACACATCTTCCATTTGGGCTTGTGAGGCGCTAAAGGACCCATGCTGACCGAGGAGTCGTACACTGCTTGGTCAATAGGGGACCGTCCCACGAGAATCCTGCACGCTGGGGGCAAATGCCTATTCATGTGCTGGGAGTAGTACCAAACAAAAAAATATTGGTCGACTCCCTGGCACCCTCCAAAGAAAGGATGCCGTCAAGACATGCCCACGCGCTTTCCAGCTTCCCTCTACCCATCTCTACCCTAAAAGGATGGAGGGTTTGTATGGTCCCAGGGTCCCAGGTGCATCATCTTTTGTTTGGCGCCCTGCTGGTGATAAAGCCAGAAAGGGGTCCCTGTTGAACTGGGAAGATGAACCTCCAAGAGTCATGGTGCGGAGGGAGGGTTTGGAGGGTCCCAGGGTGAGTCAACCGCCAGTCCACAGGTTCGCTCTGAAGCCCTCTGTGGGCACGTGGCTCGCACCGGCCCCGAAGAAGCCTTCCGCCGCGGCGGCCCCACCGGCAGCTTCAGCGTCGGCAGCTTCGGCACCGGCCCCAGGACCAGAAATCAATGGGTACCCTCCCAGTGGTTTGGTGGTTTGGTGGTTTGATGGTTTGGGGGTTGAGTTTTTGGTTTTTATAGTTTTGTCTTGGGCAGGAAGGCTTAGTTCAATCTGCAAAGCCGGTCATAGCTCTTGTTTTTTGGGGGAGGGGAGGCCTTGCTCTTGTCGGGAGACCCCCCCCCTCAACAAAGTTTTGTGAAGCACTATCGGGGGCACTCCATTTGCCCAAAAGAGGGTGTCAAAAGGCAATGTATAGATGTATATATATATATATATTGTAGCCCGTTGCCCAGCGGTCCAGCGGTCCCTTTTTGCTTTTTTTGAGGTCGAGTTGCCTTTGGCATCAACCAGCAAACAATGGTGCCACATGGCCACTGGGCTTCTGAGATATAAAACGGCTAACCCCGTGGCACTTGAAAAGCGCTAGCTTTCGGAATTGGCCTCGGTGCGAAGGGAGTCCACTTGTCTACCTTGTGCGTGGCCAGCTGTGGGTTCCTTGTTGTATGTCATTGGAACCCAAAAAGGTGATCAATGACCCGGTCCTTTCAAAGAAGCAATACACATCGCGACATTGGCTGACTTCGTGATTAGCTTTCCAGCAGCCAGTTGTTGTGTCGTCTTTTGGTTTATTACCTAGCGTACAGTATTCCTGGGGTATCATGTTTTTGTGTGGCCCGCTATTGGTTTTGCAGGTTAGTGTCGGTTTTGGCTATAAAATATTGTCAAGATCGGGTGGCCTCTGACAATTTGAATTAAACAGAGGAGCAACTCCTTTGTGGGCCAAGAATGCCCTGAAAGAGAATAGACCCGCCAAGGCTACGCCTTTCATCCTGAAGCCATCAGTCCGCGGCTCAGTGTTTCGAGTCGTGGAACAATGCCACCCGTTCGGAGTAGTCTTGTACATGCTGGTTTCCCCCCTATGCCCCAGATGGGATATATGCGCGAGCTTGGCTCAAAGTGGAGACACCACACTGAAGTGTACGGGTTGTTTCTCCGTGGCGGCTTCCCTGCACCTGTATATACACCGGAAGCAACCCACCCAGCACCGACCATCATTGATAGATATGCAGGCCGTTGTGTTTTTGTTCCTAGCAGATGCGGCAAGGAAGGCTGCCTTTGGGCCAAGTGGTATGAAAACAGGGGTAGTACTACTTTAGTATCGGGCCAGGTCCTTTTTCGACAAAGCATGCACATTGGTAAGACATGAGTGCTTCACCTTAGCCCGCTCACTTGCCTGAGCTGCCGATGTACTTTGCGCACTTCACTTAGAATTGTACTTCAAAGCTGCGACTTTCCAGCCGCAGCTGCCAAGGTGGACATTGCACGCTACGTTTGTACTTGGAAGTTGCGACTTTCCTCGCTCGTCGACTTCCATTACTGTTGGAATTTGGGCAGTTGTGCTTCAATTGTGTGATTGTTGCTGGAAATGAAACCGATAGGAAGATCTCGTGTCCACGGTTGAAATTCGACTCATTTTCACATCTCGAAGCGTCCCCTTTAAGGTTTGCAGTCCCAATGGGGAATCTCAGCCCATCCCTGTTGACCCGGGTTTCCCAGAAGGCTGCCGGACAAAAAGGATGTTTGTTTTCCTTGAAGCCCCTCCGCCCTATGAGCCTTAAGGAATCTCTTTGGAGAGCCGGTTGCGAGTAGGGTCAGATTCATCCCCGGCGCCAAGGTTGGAACCTGGTACATGATCAAGCCATTTGAGGAACGCCCGAAGTCTGTGGACATTTTGGCGCGGGCCCCAGGCTATCTCCTCGATTCTGGATTCTAGGCGACTGAGAGCTTCATGTTTTTGTTGCCCCTGGAAAGCTAGTGGATTATTGGGGCCTAGTTCCAACCCAACTCTTGCTTTTCCCACCCTTCCTTTGTTTGTCGGGCATTTGTTCATGGGTGAATTCAATTCAAAAGAAGGACTGCTTGTTGGAATTGTTTGACGTGACCTTATTGCACGGGTGTCAAAGGCCTCGGTTTGCCGATTACGAATCTGAATGAATTCGGACAGGCTGGCTCGAAGGATCGTCTTTCTTGGTGGCCAGTACTTGTCGTGGGTATTAAAGATTGCAGGAGCCCCAAAATGTGTAGTTTCCTTTTGGTTGCCCTTTACACTTCCAACCGTTTAACATATAAACCAACCTTAGCGGGAAACCTCGGTCACACACACACGCACACACCCATGTGGTATTTCTAGGAGATGCGTTGTTTGTCTCACTGAGGAGAGGACCCACAGCAAGCTGCTGACCATGGACAAGGAGGACCGTATTTCGGAGCCAAATGTTAGTATCAAATGCGATTGCATGCCCCCAACGCTTTTTAGCCTACAATCACGTTGCAGATTGCTTGTCGGGATCTTCCGAACGGGTATTTCTCATAGCACCACCATGGTGAAATTTTCAGACAACCACTACCATCCTTGCCGCGCAAGTGAGACGCTGCGGCGAATTTGCGGCGGATTTGCGCTCGCAGGAATTGATCACGGGCTTTGAGAAGGCGATCAAGAAGAGGGATCAGGCCACTGGCCTCCATTTGGCATTCCAAAGCTTTTGGGCATTTGCACGAACACGTGGACATGTCCTGAGTCTCCTAGGGACCCTGCAAAAATGGGCAATGCATTGGCAATGTTTTTGACATAAGGATAGCGCAGATTTGCGATTACATGTAACATTTCAAGGGCGACTGTAAGTGAAGCATACTGGTTGCATGTTTACAAAAGAGCGAGGCTGGGGTCGTGTCACGAGATGCGAACCACCAAGGAGATCAACAATCTGAAGTCTACGCTGAAGGCGTAAGGCCGATGCTAGCCGTGCCTTGCATGCGCGTTTGTTAAGGTGGGTGTGTCTTTGCTTAGGGGCCCCCCTACCGTTGGTTTTGCTTTGGGTTTTCCTTGAGAAACACTAAACTCAAAAAAGACACACCCAGGTTTACCTTTCGACCTGAAAGCAGGGTGGTCCTTCCTCAGTTTGGCCCACAGAGTTCTTGAAGGTCCAAAGTTGCCCCTTCGGCCCCTGAAACACCAACTTTGCAATATGCGCACATCACTTCACGGATGTGCTTCATGTGCGGCCCTGGCTCGAGCTTCAAGATATGCGCAGAAAAAAACAGCTAATTAGCTCACCTAGGGCCACGGCCACATAGCCACGGAAACAAGCAGCACTAGGCCCAGGGCACATTGCGGTGATGCCGCGCTGGTATCACGCCTTGGGACAGGCAGCGGTTCGCCGGTTGGCCAAAGCGTTTGGTTCACCCACGAAGTGCACAGGCTCAGTGAAATGCTCCAGTTGTCTATGGTTCAGTTTGGAGGGTACACAAAGTATCTTTGCATAACCGGCAGTCACCGGGCCAAATGAACCCTTCTTAAAAATTGAAGTATTGTTTGGACTTTTTGACAGTTGAGCGGCAGTTCGAAGGGATTCTCACGCAATGTGCGTGCAATGCGACTCCGCAGGTCTTGTTGATCCACCACGTGGCCTCTGCAGACAACGGGAGCTTCCTGTTTTCCGCCGTGTCGTGTCCTAGAATCGGGGGCCCCTTTCTAAAATTTGGTATGCAAAATGAACCGACATGAAGGCTACAAGTTGGTGAGTCACCCGAGCGCCCAAAACCCTCATTGGCTACTTTAGTTGGTTCTACTCTATTTCGGATAAAAGTCAAGTCTGGAGAAGTGCACTGCTCACCTATTTCTAGCAGCACTCGTGCTTCTTTTTTGTTCTCAATGGCAGGGTCAATTCGTGTGGACTTCGCTTGCGAGCGCGCAGGACATGTGAGCTCGGCACTTGCAGAGGGCCAAGCCTTACGCTTGACACCGAACCTCGGCTGTGTGCAGGGTGGAAAGGGACAGATCGCAACCATATCGTGTAAGAGGTGTGTGTTTTAAAGGGTAGTCAAGCCGCCATTTGTGGGGTTTCCTGATTTTGGCGCATACCCATATAGTTGCACGCATTTATTGGCTTATGATCTTGGCTTCGTTTGGTTTCACAGTATCCCGCAGCCCCTTTCTAGCCCCATATATCATAGGTCTAAACAAGTGAATTCAGGAGCTCATCGCTCACCCTTTCAATCGTCCCGAACGAACGGGGATCCCTTGTTTCCGCTTTGAATTACCCAGACGCTCATGGACCCTCCCAGAGGATAGCCGCCCTTGATTCTCAAAACCGGTTCTGGGTAGCCACATGTAATGTTGACCTATGATTAATAAATAGGGGGCCCCCCCCCCCTGAATGACCATGAATAAAGATTAGGGGAGAATTTTCAGGGTCGGGCCTTGTTTAAAGGAGTTTAGTATTGGGCTCAGTTTTTTTGGTTTTCGAATACTACTTTAGAATTGGGCCAATTCAAAAGTAGTATTGGGCATGTTGTTTTTTCTTATTTTGCTTTGGGGGAATACTAGTTTAGAATTGGGCCAATTCTAAAGTAGTATTGAGCCAAGAACTTTTGCATGCATTTCATGAGGGATTGAGGGTTTGCATGGGCTGGCATGGAAATTCATGAGGGTTTGCATGGGCTGGCATGCATTCTAGGAGGGATTGAGAAGGACATTCATGAGGGTTTGCATGGGCTGGCATGCATTCCAGGAGGGATTGAGAAGGACATTCATGAGGGTTTGCATGGGCAGGCATGTATTCCAAGAGGGATTGAGAAGGACATTCATGAGGGTTTGCATGGGCTGGCATGCATTCTAGGAGGGATTGAGAAGGAAATTCATGAGGGTTTGCATGGGCTGGCATGCATTCTAGGAGGGATTGAGAAGGAAATTCATGAGGGTTTGCATGTAGGGATTGAGAAGGACATTCATGAGGGTTTGCATGGGCAGGCATGTATTCCAAGAGGGATTGAGAAGGACATTCATGAGGGTTTGCATGGGCAGGCATCATTCTAGGAGGGATTGAGAAGGACATTCATGAGGGTTGCATGGGCAGGCATGTATTCCAAGAGGGATTGAGAAGGACATTCATGAGGGTTTGCATGGGCAGGCATGTATTCCAAGAGGGATTGAGAAGGAAATTCATGAGGGTTTGCATGGGCTGGCATGCATTCTAGAGGGATTGAGAAGGACATTCATGAGGGTTTGCATGTATTCCAAGAGGGATTGAGAAGGACATTCATGAGGGTTTGCATGGCAGGCATGTATTCCAAGAGGGATTGAGAAGGAAATTCATGAGGGTTTGCATGGGCAGGCATGCATTCTAGGAGGGATTGAGAAGGACATTCATGAGGGTTTGCATGGGCAGGCATGTATTCCAAGAGGGATTGAGAAGGACATTCATGAGGGTTTGCAGGGGCTGGATGTATTCCAAGAGGGATTGAGAAGGACATTCATGAGGGTTTGCATGGGCAGGCATGTATTCCAAGAGGGATTGAGAAGGACATTCATGAGGGTTTGCATGGGCAGGCATGTATTCCAAGAGGGATTGAGAAGGACATTCATGAGGGTTTGCATGGATTCAGCATGACATTCACAAGGGGAGGCATGGGTTTGCAGGCATTTCAGCAAGGGTTCAGTGAGCATAGCTTGGCCAGCATTGCAGCCATGTCATCAGTGAGTGAGAATTCATGGCATGAACTTCATGAGTCAGATTTAGATTCAGGGCATGATGCAGATACAGAGCAGGCTGGGCAGGAGGAGGCTGGATCAGAGCTGGGGGCTGCAGGAGGATGAGAATGCAGCAGTTGATGAGGGTGCATCAGTCCAGCGTTATTGGGCCAACCAGTACACTGCATTAGTGGGCATGACAAGGAGAATCAGGCATCATGTTGAAGTGCTTAATCTGATTGGTCAGTATTTGGGCATTGATGTTGCAGACACATACTGGTGCCTGCATTATGCAGGCAGTGTGTATCAGTTTGTCCAGCTGGAGAACCCTGCATATTCAGATGCATGGTGCATCTGGGGCTGGGTGATTGAGTATGCAGCAAAAGGCAGCTACTATTTTGTGGGTGATGAGATCAAGGAGCTTGAATGTCATGTTGGAGATGTGCCATCAGAACTTGCATCATCAGGCTCAGCACCAGCAGGATCAGACTCAGCACCATCAGGCTCAGGATTAAATTCAGATGCATCAACCACATCCTGTCAATTCCCTCAGCATCCTCATGAGATCAGGTTTGTAGATTAGTTAGGCTCAGTGCAATGGACATGGCAAGTGTATGACAGAAAAAGGGTTATGGTGGTGTGTGGTGGGTGGTGTGTGGTGGGTGGTGTGTGGTGGGTGGTGGTGGGTTGGTGGTGCCAGCACCATTCCCTTTCAGCCCTGGCCAAGCCCTGCTAGGATCAGATCTTCATCAGGTGCTGCATCCAAAGAAGGATGATGAGGCAAAGAAGCCAATTGGAGAAGGGAAGGATGAGGAAAAGAAAGATGAGTAAGCAATGAGTAGCTGCAACCCAGTGTTCTTAGCAGTTGGCATCAGGATTGAGTTGGAAAACATGAAGGTGCATGCGCTGTCATGAGTGGCATGGGGGCAGTGAGCATGGATTCACTTGGCATCATGTGCATCCAGCATGTGCATGAGCCATTCAATCATCAGCAGCCTTTTGCACCATCAGAGCTTGGAATCAGTTTGTATTTGGAGCCCATTAGCATGGCCATGAGCATGAAGAAGGTGATGGCATGCCTGGTTGCCATCATTGCAGTGGTATTTGGCATCATCAGTAGCTTGAATCAATTCATGGGGGACAAATTGACAATTGCTCATCACTGACAATTGTTAACTATCATGACTGAGGCCAGGGGATTGACATGGAGCACCATCAGTTGATCAATCAGGGAGTGCCTTGGCCACATGGGGCATGGCAATGCAGGGAAATTAGCATGGGTGGAGGGTGCACACAAATCAGGTGATGTACTGCTTCATGCTGTATGCATTGTGGAAGATGCATCAGTTTGTGGATCATGCAACTTGGAGTCATTAATTAGTTAAGTATGCAAATGTATTTGTTTTGCAATGGCATGCAGGTAGTCACATGAACATTGATGAACATTGTTCACTGCTCAGGCATGCAACATCAGCAACTCAGCCTGGACATGTGCAAGGAAAGCAGGGTTCATGGAGAAGCGTGCCTGTGCCAGCAATCAGATTCATGATTCATGGCATGGAGTTTGCTTGAACCAGGTGTATAGTGTGTGAATGCTTTAAATTCTTGATGAACTTCAGGCATGGACATCGCCTATGGAGGCTTCCATGATTTGCAAAGGCATGTGGCACAGGTGCTCAGAGAGCCTCTTGGCTGATGCAAGATAATTACATGAAGCATGATGATGAGCACATGAGGTGATAAGGAACTAGTTAGTCAGATGTCATCAGCTGTTACTCAGTTAATTACTGGGCTCAGGTATGATGATCAGATGGGGGATTCTGCCATATTGCTGGGCATGATCCAGGGATTGCGCCCTACATTTGCACCAGGGATGAGCAGAACCTTGCCAGCATTAGTTTCATTAGGCAATGCTAATTATCAGCAGGCAATGCAGCAGGGCAACCATTGCAACCAGCATGGCAACACATGATTGGCTTTATTCATTCCAGCCAAGGGGATTACTATGAGGCAGAATGGGATTTGGCAATTCGTGCAGCATTGCTGGATGCAAAGCTGCAGGCCCAGCAGCTTTGAGTAACTAATGAAATGACAGTTCATGAAGCAAAATTCTAATTAAGTTGCATGATGATTGGACTTGTTGTTTTCAACTAAGGTATCAGCAGCTGATTCGCAAGGTATGTGGGATGAAGGACTATGCGGCACATGATAAAGAGCAGTTCATCAGGAAGAATGCCAACAGGAAGGAATGGCAACAGGAGC